AGTATAAAAAGACAATTATAAATATAGTAAATTTTACTTCCTTTAAACGTATCACTGCAGAGAAATTCGTTGAATTATTTAAAAAATTTTTAAACGTTTCATATTCATAAAGTGACTCAGCGGCAGGTTATTTGGTCTTAAGAGGAGACTTTCCTTTGGTGCTAAATGCATAAGAATTTTCGTTGTGTTCATCATTACAAAATCAAGTTTACTGCTTATTTCTTGAAGCAACTGTCTTAATTTTCTCTACGGCAATTGTGTTATCACCTAAATGATGTAATGAAATAATAAATGTAAAATATATAATAGTCAATAAAATTTTGAATTCTCTAAATATATACATACTTGTTGATTGATTTTTACTGGAAGAAACAAATGTTCTAAATGAATTACTATAATTTGCATTATGAGACTTATTTTCTTTATAATGCTCGTTACTTGATATAGATATAATTTCAGAGTGTTCCTTACTTAAATAAGTAGATTGACTGAACTTCTGCGAGATATTTTTATAAGCGTTGTCTGCTGAAGCAATAATTACTTCACTACTTTCCTTTTGTATGTTTTCTGTGTATAGAATACAATAAGAATACCATAAGTAGAAACATGAGAGAACAGCAATGTAGAAATAATTTTGCAATTAGTAGAAATAACTGAATTTCCAAGTATTATTCAAAATAAGTATAACTTATGTTTTATCGTAAGCGAATCAAATATCGACTGTCGAATCAATCTTATCATCATTATTATTATTATTGCCACTTGTATATGTCATGTCATATCGATCATGTATAACATCACTACTGACTACATCGTTATCACTACTATCTGTACTTAAATGTGGAAAGTCATTAAGTGAATCAAAATTATTATCTGAAATTCCATGAACTTTTAAACCTCATTCGACAACTCTAATTTTATGTGTTATCTATCGCTTAGCATGCCTCGTTCTACGTCGTTTTTTCTGTAAAAGTAGTGAATTAATACAACACAATGTTGTGATGTAATGTTGTATATTGATGCGCACAGTATTTATTAGACACAACAGATTTTGTGTGTGTGTGTGTGTGTGTGCGCGCGCGCGCGCGAAGTATAAGATATCAAACATGAATTTCTAATATCATAATTACTGATATCATTTATTTATTGTAATCTTTTACTGAAACTTCGTTGAACATAAATGTGAACATTAACCTAACACATAAAAAAATTAAGTACTTACCGGTCTGTCTGTCATATTGATTGTTCACAATATACACCATATACGATAATGTTACAGATTGATAATTACAAGTTTTTAAAAGCAGATTCTAGATAAATCAAATGAAATATGCAAAGATAAATGATATTATATCTTGAGATACAACGGATGCAACATGGAGACGCAAAAGAAACGTACAAACGCATTAGAACGGCAAGGCATTAAGACAATCGGTATAGTATAAGTGTAGCGCTACGCGAAGTACGAGATAATCGAGATAACCGACCGGCAATCGATGCAGTGTCAATCACAGACGCACACGACGAGCGAATAGAAAAGAAGCTGGGACAATATTCTCGATAATACATTAAAAATATCGCACACCATAGCTGCGATTCGCACCAGTCACAATTTTTCACTTAGATAAGTTAAATGTGAAAAATAACTTATAACTTGAATTCCTTAATGTTAAATTCTTTTCCACTCAACTTTTAATTTGACTTAATGTTAAATTAAATAACTTTCCATTTTTAACTAAACTTCTAACTAACATATATTTTGTTTTTTTATATTTTCTTTATAAATAAAAATATGAAACAATTTTTCTGATAGGTTTGTTTATATGGTGTCCAGTTTCGAGATATTAATAAATCTAATACTTCAAGTGAAAATGTAATAATTGTCAAGTAATGTAATAATTGTCAAGTAATGTAATAATTGTCAAGTAATGTAATAATGGTCAAGTAATGTAAAATGTAATAATTGTCAAGTAATGTAATAATGGTCAAAGACTCGAAGTATCTTATTCCAAATCGTACTCCAAAAAAACAAGTTACATGAAAGTGAAAATAGTAACACAATATAATCATTTTGACTTTTATATAATCGTTTGTTTTATTTAGAATATATTCCAAACATTCCTTCAAAATTGTTGAAAATTACAATAAACGATGCAACTTGCAATAATATATTATCATATGTATTATGTATGTTGAAAAACAGCATGTCACAAATTAGTCATTTCAAACTGCTTAATGACGCTGACTATATTGTGATATAAAATTCATCATTTTTATGTCACTTTGACATTTTCGTGAACAGTTTGTTTTACTTGGGTACCAACCTAGCAATCTAATGATGATGAGACTATCCGTATCACGACGTAAAATCTTCGCTCATAACATCGTTAATGTTCTTTGAGTCGAAATTTTAGCACAATCTTGGATCTGAACTATCTAACTTCTGTATTTGAAGAATCTGAAGGACCAACGTATGCTTCTTATATGAAAAACTAATTACAATTTTTTGAAGTTACTTAAAATAATTTAAAGTAAATAAGATGGTTATGAATTATTGTCAGTGGTTTAGAGCAGTCGCCCGGCAAGCGAAAACTCGGGTTCAAGTTCAAGCCTAGCAAACTGTGCTCTCGATATTTTTTTCTCTCTGGAAGGAAAAGATACGCAGATTTCGAACGCACTGCGTTACACCGCCGCCTAGTACGCTTTCCTCCTTCTATGTGAAAATTGCACGATAGGACACACACGCATATACGCCCGCCAGCACATTCATGCACACGCATATACACACACAAAAATATGTAAATTGGACGGTACAACCTCTGCGTTGTACATATTTGGGTAATGCTAATGCCGGCGGTAAGTGTAATTTTTAAGTTCCATAACCCGGAAAGTTTTCATGGAAAAAAAGTTGCAATCAGTGCTTCGGAAATATCTTAACAGAGATAAATATCAGATACAAAGATATGCTGTGAAAAATAGGGCGTTCAATATAAAATTTTTATAATGATCTTGATAATGTTTCTCATGGTCATCTCAAGATCAAATAAATATCAACGTTTGATAAACTTTTCAAACCCCTACTACTTTTGTCTGGAACATTTTTTAAATAAACTAATATTTTCTGAAATTATTTGCCGCACCGAAACTTTTGTCAAGCACTGTAATTCCTCACTATATATATATATATATATATATATATATATATATATATATATATATATATATATA